TACATGATTTAATTTGATTTAGAATATGTTTGTTGTGGGTTTGGTGTTGGCAAGATGACATGAGGCCCTCGAAACAAAGTAAATATGGCACTTGTACTGTTTGAAATGAATAGTCATTCCTTGATAATATAATATGTTATTAGAATAACTAGCCTTGATTAATGAACAGAGGAGTCATGCTAATACCTTAAGGATTCCTTTCATCACCTTTCATCAGCAAAGTAGTATTTCCATGGAAGTCCTCATCTGAGATTGTTCTCAGGGCAACCAGCAAGCATCACTCATTCTACATCTTTAATGTGCTGAAGCTGGACCATTCCTTCTTTGTTCATGGCTTCAAAGCTCCAGGAACAACACACCACACTGCCTCTGCTGGCCTTTCTGAGTAGTTTGAGGAGGAGTGAATACATCCTTTATAGATAACATGACAGAGTGGTCAAGTGAAATGGATGGTTCTTGTTGAAAAGTAGCTATACTGAATCAAGAAATTTGTTTTAATTTAACTTAGAGATATGTGAAGAATCTTAGGAGTAGAAAATGAGCTCGAGAAAAAACTGGTTGAGGATATCGAAGTTATTTCTATGTGTGCACTTAATTGATTCTAGGAAGAAAATAGATTTTGGAGCCAAAAGGAATCATCTGGAATCATTTTCCCCTCTGTGGTTGCAAAAATAAATTAGTAAGTCAGCGCCCCATTATTTATTTCTCTTTAACTCAATAATAAAGAAACTACTGCTTATCATCAGAACTAAGACTCATCCATTGTAAGGATTTTATTCATCTTGATTATTTATTGAGCCTTTTGTTGTAGAATAAGCAATGCTTGCCTTCCAAGTCAAGCTGCAAAACAGGCAGCAAGAGTTAACTCTGCAGGCTATGTTTCTCTTTCTAATAGGAGCACTTTAGCAATGCTAATCAGTTATACTGATTTTGTTTTGATTTTTCCATAATAATTAAGTGAATGATCTGGAATGCAATCAAGTTTGGCACTAGGGGGTTCATGCAAATGACTCCTTTATTTTTTTACATTTTAAATTTTGTTAACTGGAATCATAAGGAAAGTTATTTGAAGAGGAAGTCTGAGTGGGTGAGGGTAGCCAACAGCCAATTTAGAGATTTGAATGTATTCAAAATGTCTATCTTAATGAAACAAATCACCACCGCATTGCCTTTGTTTTCAATTGAAATAATACTATTTTTTACAAATTTCATTTTGTATTCATTTGCACTCCAAAGTGGAAAATTATAAGACAGGATGACACAGCATAGAAGAAAGAAATGAGGAAGAAAAAATGTACTACTTTCCTTCTTCAGAGTAGGTGTAGTGGAAAAAGGGTAGTCACCACATTTACTCACCAAAACCTGTGAAAGAAAACAAAGAAGATAGGGAAAGAGTAAATGCATGCCCTATCAACTTCTTTTTTCTTTTTCTTTTCTTTTCTTTTCTTTTCTTTTCTTTTCTTTTTTTGAGATGGAGTTTACTTCTGTTGCCCAGGTTGAAGTACAATGGCACGATGTTGGCTCATTGTAGCCTCTGCCTCCCAGGTTCAAGCAATTCTCCTCCCTCAGCTTCCCAAGTAGCTGGGATTACAGGCACCTGCCACCATGCCTGGCTAATTTCTTGTGTTTTTTAGTAGAGATGGGATTTCGCCATGTTGGCCAGGGTGGTCTCAAACTCCTGACCTCAGGTGATCCACCCTCCTCGGCCTCCCAAAGTGCTGGGATTACAGGTGTGAGCCACCGCACCTGACCTAAATGTCCTATCAGCTTCTAATTTTAATTGCATCTCAGTGACTTTATTAAACAAGATGGAATGAAAGGACAATCCATGTTTCCTAATTTACAGAAATGTTGTGTTTCTTAGTTCTCTACAGCTTACTGGCATATTTGCGAGATGTCTTCTCTCCTCACCATGTATAAGCTCTGTCTTATTTTCTCGAACAGTTTTAAGCAGCTTTTGTGAATTTGCATGATCCTTTCCTCTTGATCAAACAACTCTTTTAGATTTTGCAGATTATTCTAGAGCTCAGTTAATTTTCTAATTTTAATTAGGAAAATACATCGGGACAAAGAGACCAAGTAATACATACACACATACATTTTTTAATGTAATGATAGTTTTTCTTTCAAAAATGGTACCTGCGACTTCTCATTGCAATTTGATATTTCTGTATAATGAACTTCCAAAGCAATGAGAAGGTGACCAAATTCTGCTTTTTCTCTGTCACCTCCCCTTCACAGGGCAATGCATCAAGTGCAAAGCAGGGAAAGAAACCAGAAGATTAGTGTCTACATTTTTACATGAAAAGAAAACTCACAACCTCTTTCTTTTTCTTGGACTTTGATTCATGGCTTGTGGCAATTTCTAACTTTACAGACTAAACATTTCTAATTGGTAAATGGGTAGTTTGAGTCTGAGATGACTCAGGAAATAAACTTTCCAATTTCGGGTAATTGTTTATGAGTAGATGGCAGATTACTGCTTACCAGCCTTCATGTCTTTGAGGAAAGAATGAAAGCTAAACACATTTCACACATCATTGAAAGGAAATACTTCTCCTCATGTAAAGCAATGAGACAAGAAGATATTTGCCATGCTTATTTGTTACAACAAATATATTAAAGATTTTTCTGATGGGTGAGGAAAACAATAGGTGTTTATGACATGGCTTCAACTATAAAACAGTGACAATAAAAACTACTACTTCGTGGTTAAGTTGCTGTAAGGATTACATGATAATTCACATAATTGGCTCAATGCTATGTCTGGCACACAGTATCGGTCAGAGGATGTTAGCTGTTATTGTTTATTATTATTATCATCATCATCATTTTAATTCAGCCCTGTTAAATGAAACAGCTTCTTTATAAAATGTTAAGCTTCAGATTTTACAACTTCGTGATCATTAGCATGTGAGAAATGCCAGTAATTCTATTTAATCTATAAGTTAATTTTGGCTATTTATGCTTTGTCCATTGGAATTATTTAGTGGCCATTGAAATACCCTTTTTAAGATTTTACAGCTTCTTTAATGGCTTACACAATGCTTTTTAATTGTACTACAAATTCATGACTATTTTCCTTATTCCAAGTCAAACATTTTCTTTTGTTTTAGCCTTTATCAGTCAGTGATAGATAACTTGTCATAGTATACTTAAAGTACTTGTCCTCCTAAACAATCTTGATTTTTAAGAATTTAATATTTTCTCATTTGATCTGTCCTTCTGAATTTGAATGGTAAACTATTTCCTAATGTTAACTTTTTTGCTGTTACTATTGTTTTAAGATAAATTTACCTTTTCAAACTATAAAGTTATTATTCAATACATTTGGTTCCCAAATATGAAAAACTTCTTGGTATGGAAGGTGAGTATAACTTCTTAAAATGCCAGCTCCCACCCAGAAAATCACTGCTTTGCTCAAGTAATTCGGCCCGTTGTTACTAGTTTCACTGGTTTACCAACAAGCAGATTAGTGCTTACTTCGTTTGTAATTAAGAAATGGGTCAGTGATTTCTAATTTTGTATCCATTTTTATAATGATTAGATGACATAGTATGACAATTGAACTTGTCCTTCTTTCTAAGTTCCAGACGGTATAGGAGTGGGTGTGGTTCTCAGGTGCAAACCATTACAGGTGTTACACACCCGGGCCTGGCACATTGTACGTGTTCAATAAATGCCTGTAGGTGGCTTTGCTTGATATCTCAGAGGAACCTCCAAGTTGACATATCTAAAACTGAACTCAAAGCTTCCTCTCCCCAGAGGAGGGCTTCTATGAGTCCCATCTCAGTGAGGGGCTAACAGTCCCCACAAGGGGCTAAATCAGAAGCACCTTCCCTTCCTTACTCCCACGTTCAATTTCCAAGTCCTGTTTATTCCGCTTCCTAAAAATCTCCCAGAGCCACTCCACTCCCTGCAACCCCTTGTGCCTTGATCTGTCCATAGTCCTGTCTTACCTGACCTTCCTCCAAGAGCCTCCGCTCGCAGTTAGAGTCATTCTTCTAATGCCACTCTGCATCCTTTAATAGCTCCGTGTTATCCCTTGGTTGAAGTTCCCTACCGCACAATGGCTTATGAAACCCATGGTGACTCACCCTCTGTCTCTTTCTCCAGCTGTTCCCTTTCTCTTGTCACAAATTAACGTGAACTCCCTAAATGCACCTGGCCCTCCCTCACACTCTGCCTGGAACATTCGCCCACTTCTATCTTTTTTGCCAGCTTATCTATTTTCCAAGCTTCCAAATATGTTGTCTTTATGGTCTTTAGGTTCATTTTCTCTAATATTGACCTGCAAACCACTTTATGTATATTTTTCTATGTATAATCTAGTTTTTAGAAACCCCTGTGAGATGGTTGGTTTCATTTCTGTTCAGCAGATGGAGAAACTGAAGCACAGTGTTTAAGAAATCTATGACTACTAAATTATAGGCATCTTAATGGGTAGAGATAGGGACTGGTTCTGTATTTTATATCCAGCCTTTGCATGGGGTGCCTAGGATGGAGCAGGCATTCAGTTCACATTGAATGACTTGTTGAATGAATCTCAGTTTGAGCCGGAGTTACCTCTCTCTTGATTCAGTGGAGCTTCTGTTTCATCATTTATTCTCCAGGACAAATGAGGCCAGCTATCTCTGTGTAACCTCCTCTTCAGAAGGGAAATATGCCCGGTGAAAGAATGTAGAGGCCTGTGTTTCTCTGAATTGTTCTGGTAGATTTCTTTAATATTGGCTGGCATGGATGAGAAGGGCTTTTGTTCTCGGAGCAATTGCTGATGATTTGCATATTTTAGTAATTTACAAAATAGTGGCCACCCTGCACAACATAAGAAACACCCCTCTCTCTGTCCGTTTAATTTGGTGACCGAGCTATTGAAATACATGGTTTGTTATGCACATTTCAGCCCCAGTGCCAACTGGTACCTGGTGGCTGCTGTACTGAAAAGAATTCTGTGTGAGTCACTTCAACGCATTTCTAATTTGGATTTTTTTTCTCGTAGGTTGTTCTTCAGAAAAAAAAATGGTTATTTCTTTGAACTCATGCCTGAGCTTTATTTGTTTATTGTTATGCCACTGGATTGGGACATCATCACCTCTGAATCTCGAAGACCCTAATGTGTGTAGCCACTGGGAAAGGTAATAGTTCTGAAAGTAGCCTGACAAAGAATTGCTGAAAAGTTCCCTTATATACTGTAATTATCAGTCAGATGTATAAAAATAGAATTTGAGAAGAGCTTGTGAAATTACGCTACCTCTATTAGTCATAGCTAATAAATTAGGTAGTGTTAGTCACCTTGGTCTTATAGCATATATATTATGTGAAAAAAATCTTGATTTATCTGATTCGAATGCAGGTGCAATTGTAAGATTCAGGGAAAACATTAATAGCTCAATTAAAAGATCTTCCTACGGTCTTGTCTCTGCTTTGAATTTGCATTAATTCTGGGGAGCTGTACTTATGCATGGGAACCCATGAGTGAGAAGTGGAAAGCAGCACGGGATAATGTACTAAAATATTGAAATAAGGGATTTAAAAGAAGTGTGCTGTAGATGGCTTGAAAAGGGAGATCTGATTTTGGGGTAAACTAGCAAGGCTGCATAGAGGTAGTGTCCCCTGAGATGCTCTTGAAGAACTGAATAAGATGAGTGGATTACAATGGTCAGGAGGGAATCTGGGAAGGGGCGGCAGTTTGAAATCAGTGCCATACAGATCACCGAGAGCTGTGCACAACCAGAGCAGAGTTTGTACTGTGTTGGAGGAGGGTAAGATTATGTGAAGGGAGATGATATAATGTCCAGATATGGGCAATTTGCAGTAGGAAGCACAAAACAATAGGTCATCCTCAGGGTCCATATAGTCCCTTTGGGGACACAAAATTAGTCCAACCCATCTAGCGATATTGCAGTACAATCAAGTCTGGTTGGCTCTGCTCTAATGTGCTACTTGAATTTCCCAGAAATTATCTTCATCCAAAAACCATAAATGCAAGTGTTTAAACAAAGAGAAAATGTTAAGTACTGGAGGGTAATATGTACTTTTAATAGCTGTAAGTACAATTACATCAAACTCTTGATTTTCAGCATCATGATGAGCAAACCACAGAGTACACATTCTAATCACCTTTGTCCCCCACTGTTAGGACGCACAAAGCCCAAAGCCTTTCAAGCACAGCAGTGGTATTATTCTGGGGACACGCTGGTTTCTCACTCAGCATTATTTTTGGTGAGGGCTTGTCCCTGCCTACATTGGCAGTGTTACAAGCAGGGTAATTAAAATATAATTACCTGATTAGTCAATGGAGTCATTATTACCAAACTTTAAGCTGTAGAGAGAATATATGTATGTAATGAAGTTCTACATATTTGTGGTATTAATTACATTATACAGATTTTTTTTTTTTTTTAGACGGAGTCTTGCTCTGTCACCAAGCTGGAGTTCAGTGGTGGAAATCTCGGCTCACTGCAACCTCTGCCTCCTAGGTTCAAGCAGTTCTCCTGCCTCAGCCTCCTGAGTAGCTGGGACTACAGGCACATAACACCACACCCAACTAGTTTTTGTCTTTTTAGTGGAGATAGGGTTTCATCATGTTGGCCAGGATGGTTTTGATCTCTTGACCTTGTGATCCGCCCACCTCAGCCTCCCAGAGTGCTGGGATTACAGGTGTGAGCCACTGCACCCAGCCCCATTATATAATATTTAAGCAGAAGGACTTCCTATTAGTCATCTTTATAGTATTTACAGCACCTCAGACAAAACATTTCATACCGAAAATATATAATAAATATTTATTTATTTATTTATTTTTTTGAGATGGAGTTTTCGCTCTTGTTACCCAGGCTGGAGTGCAATGGCGCGATCTCGGCTCACCGCAACCTCCGCCTCCTGGGTTCAGGCAATTCTCCTGCCTCGGCCTCCTGAGTAGCTGGAATTACAGGCACGCGCCACCATGCCCAGCTGATTTTTGTATTTTTAGTAGAGAGAGACGGGGTTGCACCATGTTGATCAGGATGGTCTCGATCTCTTGATCTCGTGATCCACCCGCCTTGGCCTCCCAAAGTGTTGGGATTACAGGCGTGAGCCACCGCGCCTAGCTAACAAATATTTATTAAAGTCATAAAAATGATTCAGTGGGTACATGAATGGGTACATGTCAGATTTAGAAAAGGAAGAGACCATTGGTGGTTGCACTTCTTGGAGGGATGGTAGATTTGGGATGGGAGGAAAAGTCAAGTTTGTAGATGCTGTGACATAAGAATTAACAACAGATCTTGACAATACATTGACTGAGGAAGTGAAGGAGGAGGGAAGACTGGGATTTAGAACTTGTTGTGTAAAGTAATCCAGGTGTTATTGCGCATGCGGAAAAATAAAATAAAATAAAGAGATTTGATTTGAAAGGGAAGGGGTGAGTGTGGATTTGCCATGTTGTATTTATAAAATCAATTCAAAATATGGGCCTGGAATTATTTGGAAATATAGATTTGGGAATATCCAGCATGATGAGATGTGAGATGTGAACAGATGAACTCTCTGAGGGAAAGGCTGTAAGAGAAAAAAAAAGGCCGGGTGCCGTGACTCATGCCTATAATCCCAGCACCTTGGGAGGCGAAGGCAGGCAGATCACTTGAAGCCAGGAGTTTGAGATCAGCCTGGCCAACATGGCAAACACCCATCTCTTCTAAAAATATAAAAAACCAAGCGTGATGGCACCTGTCTGCAATCCCAGCTACTTGGGAGGCTGAGGCACAAGAATCACTTGAACTCAGGAGGTGGAGGCTGTGGTGAACTGAGAATGTGCCACTGTACTCCAGCCTGGGCTAGTGCCACTGTACTCCAGCCTGAGTGACAGAGTGACCCTGTCTCAAAAAAAAAAAAAAAAAAAAAAGAGAGAGAGAGAGTGAGAACAACTTCAAGGCTTCAAATAATCCAGCACCCATTTATACACTTAGAAGTACACATTTTGCTTTGCTTCCTGGGTCAGCAGTTGACCAGAGCTACCAATGCCTAATTGCATTGTTTTGCACCACTGATAATTCCCACTGTCTACAACACGGCCTTGCATGTTGCATGTGCTCAATAAATAATTGTTGAATGAGTGAGTTCATCTTCTGATAGGAAATGAAATGACTAAATATGCACATCAATGTGGGGGGCATGGAGAGTGCGAAAGACAGTCAAACAAGGGGCACATTAATCTCTAAACCTAATAGAACCCCACAACTGTACAAGTGATTAGCATAAACTCTAAAATGCTCACTAAGGGAGAGGGAAATTGAATGTGAACAAATAGGAAAGTGATGACAAAATTTTCCATTTTAAAAAATGTACTACTAGGAAGGAGGGTTGATAGCTGTAATATTTTTATTGATAAATTTTCTGTTGAAAGGCTAAATAATGATTCCTAGAAGAAAGGTAAAAGAAAGTAGAATTGTTTTGGTAAGAATGGGGATAGATGTAGAAGACACCTTAAAATGATCAAATAAAGGCACAGGTAACAGGTTCTTCTAGTATTTTCAAAAATGGAAATGGGCTTGAACTGAAATGGGGAGAGAAAGATGAGCTCCAAGGACATAATTCTGGTAGTAGGGCTCATATTCAGCTCTTCTCATGCTAAAAATCACCTGTATCCCATGGCTTGTGTGGTTTGCAGAGCTGAGTCATGAACTTGTTAGAAATGCAGACTCTCAGGTCCCACCCCAGAGCTACTAAATCAAAATCTGCATTTTAAAAAGATCCCAGGGAGATTTGCCTCTATATTCAAGTTTGAGAAGCACTAAGCAAAAATACTTCCATCAATGCCTTCTAGCTGCATGCCAATTGATAGCTGAATATTTATTTTGAAATAGAGATGTGTCTCGTTTTAATGCAGCAATTGTAATTCTAAGAAATTGTACATAAAATGAAAAAAAATAATTAAAAATACCCAAGAGGTGTTCATGATTATAGGAACTCTGTACAGTGTCTTTTTGGAAAATGAATATCTCTAGAAATCATCTGTTTCTTCTCCTAACCTTCTCTCTGTTTTCTGTGAATTTGAGCTTTTCCATTCAGTGGGGTTTCTTCTAAAAAAAGGCACAAGTGAAGAGAAACCACTCTTTGCCCAAACCTTCAATTACTAACACAGAAGTGAGAGTAATTGAATCAGCCGTCCTGAAGTGAGCAGAGATAAGAAATGAAGATTATTACCATATCTGATTAAAGTAACAAGATAATTTAGGCAGGTAAAATGTAATTAACCACTTTGGAAAGTGCCCAAGTGATAATGGCTTCCTCTCCTTATTCTCCATCTCCTCCCCGACTCCCCGGTTCTTTGACCTTAAATTAAATCTTGCTGGGGTTTCTCCCCAGACAATACTTAATAGATTAAAATCACGGTGATGATATGTTTTCAGTATGTTTGAGAAGATTAAACAAACAAACAGGAAGTAGAGTTTTGCCTCTGAATGCTGAAAGTTGTGCAGAATTGGGATCGATTTTTTAAAATTCCAGTTTCCCACTGCTTGTCTGTTTGAGAAGCTTTGAATGTTCTATAGTGATGTTTGAGAGAGGATGGGGCAGGCCACTGTCTGAAGGTCTTGGTGTTATTGCTGACTCTATCTGGAAGCTCAGTGCTTCTTGTTAATGAAGGTGGGATTGGACCAGACAATAGAGGAGGTGTCCTCATGCTCTGTGACTTCAGGAGCAGCTGCTGGTGAACGTGGAGGTATGGAGTGTTAGCAGAGGAGCTAGTTACGTTCCAGCAGCAGCCTAAGCACTGGCCAAAGTGGCAGTGAAAAAGACCAGAGAAGGTGGGCCCATTCTTGAAGACACTTCCCTTCATGACTCAAACATATCACTTCCAGAAAATGGGCCCCTTGAAGAGTGACAGCTTAATTACCTAATGATTGGTGGCTATTGAGCAAATTAGGTGTAGTCACTTACAGAGTATTTGGCAGTCATAATTTGAAGACTACATACTAACATGGAAATAAATGTGCTTATGATACATTCAAGTTAAAAAAAGAATGTTTCAGAAGTATGTGCATGGCATGATTATTATAAGAATTTAAAAATACCCTCAACTAAAAACTAAAGTCTCCTGGAAACTTTAAAGCAGCACAGCTGCATGCTATTGGTGATTATGTGAGAGCTATGGAATTCTCTCTCTTGCTCTCTTTTTAAAAAATGTGTTTTCTAAATTTCATAGTGTGAGTATAATAACTTTACTAATGAAAAAAAAAGGAAAAAACTGTATAGAAAGAAAAATAATGGGTAAGAAACAACAGAAAAGAAATTCACGTTGAAAGACTTAGTACCTTTCTCCTATAAGCTTAAGTGGGAGCTTCCGTTTCTAACCAATGATAATTAGGCAGGAAATTATCATGGGTCAGAAACTGAAGCTTCCACTTAAGCTGATACAGTAATTTAACTATAGTTTTAATATAGTTAAATTAGTTGAACTATATTTTAATATAGTTAAATTAGTTGAACTGTAGTTTAATATAGCTGAAAATAATTTATATGCAGTCAGTTCTGTATTGGGTTTGAGTGTCAAAATAATTTTAATGAGTAAAGTCAAGATTGAGGAGAAATCCTCCAAACATAATGACTTTTATACTCCGATTTCCCTCCAACTATACATATTTCTCCACGGAAAGCCATATTGTATTACATTCAGTATTTAACCATTAGCCTCTCATTAGGTTGAGAGCTCCTTGAGGGCAGGAATTGCATAGAAGTTGCTCAATAAATGTTTGTTGAATCGGAGTCCTAAATACTTTGATTGCCCTTTTAATAGAAGAGCTATTGGTGAGCAGCAAATGACAAGAAGAGGAATTCATGTACTCCAACATTTCCTCTCATTTAAAAACTCTTTTGGGTTGCTAGAAATCAGTGAAAAGATATTTCATGTTTGCTTATGGAATTGGTTCTTCCATCCACATCAAATAGAACTGGCCAGGATGCATTTGTTGATGATAACTTTTGTACTTCAAAGAATACAGACTTGAACATCATAACATGGTCTTCGAAATTTTCTGGAAACTTTGTATCAGGTCTAGTTCTAACAAACGAATTTGGTTCAGCTAAATTAGTACTGTAGACACTGGCAAAATAATTTTTTTCTCTCAACTGTCATTAATTAATTTAGAGTGGTTTCTGGTTTTTAGTTTTTTGTTTTTTGGAGACAGAGTCTCACTCTGTCGCCAGGCGCCAGGCTGGAGTGCAGTGGCTCGATCTCAGCTCACCGCAAACTCCACCTCCCAGGTTCAAGCAACTCTCCTGCCTCAGCCTCCCGAGTAGTTGGGACTACAGGCACGCGCCACCGTGTCCAGCTAATTTTTGTATTTTTAGTAGAGTCGGGTTTCACCATGTTGGCCAGGATGGTCTTGCTCTCTTGACCTCGTAATCCGCCCACCTTGGCCTCCCAAAGTGCTGGGTTTACAGGCGTGAACCACCGCGCTCTGCTAGAGTGGTTTCTTTTTCGTTCTTATAGCACGTTTGGGAAGTTGCTTTATTATGCTCATAGGGGATGCAGGACTGTACCGGTACTCCAGTTGTATGCACAGAGTACATTCATTCACTTTGTTCTCCACTAGAAATGGAACAGAGATATAATGCTATAGGGCTTAAGATTCAGCTATTTACAAGAAGCTGGATAGAAAATGTCAAATTTAAACAATGCGAGTCAGAAAATATGATTAAGTATTGAGTTTATTCAGCCACAAAATTTGAGGATGGCCATACGGAAAACACAGAATTCAAAGGAATGGGGTCAGTGTTCCCAAGTGGGGAAGTTAAAGTTTCACCTATATAACCTTTTAAACAGAAAAGTTTAAAAGGTTAGACATTTCCATACACAGCCAGTACATATGTTACAGCGATTTGATTGATTCTAGTTTGCTACCTTTCAAGGAAGATTGCTTTAACGTTTCATGAGGAAGGCTAATGATCTGAGGGGGTCTTATTTCTGATGCCATTTGATTATTTCTAATCATTTTTAGGAAAGAAAAGTTGCAGCTGCCTGCTGCATGACTCACCATATAGTTATATTCCTCTCAAGGCTCAACAGCTTTAAATTTGAATTATTTAATTTCACAGGAGGAAGAAATATTGGGAAGGAAGCCTTAGAACCTCAGGACACTGCTAGGGGTCTGAAGAAAATACTGACAGTTTAATGTGATAAGGCATTCCAAGAACTTTAATATTTTAGCTGGGGCCTCTTGCTTTACCCGAAAGGAGTTACATCACAGCATGCAGGCATTTGTACACTCTATCCTCATCTGAACTTATTTTTGCAGGTAGCAATGGGTAACATCTGTTGGAGATAGAAAGAAACAGTTATCTAAAACATATGTTAGAAATTCAGGATGCTAAATTAGAGGGGATCTTCAACACCATCTCTGACTCTTTATATTTTAAAATGTGTTCTAAGGACCCAGGGAAGTGAGGTTATCTGCTGAACATCTTCCAGTTTCTCAGTGTCAGTACAGAATTATAACCCTGCCTTCTTCTAATCCAGTGCTTTTTCAATAGGGCCTGTTTCATTTGCCCAACATTTATGGAGGGTCTCTAAATTTACCTAAAAATAAATTTTAATATCCCAAAGAATGAAATACAGAAAACTATGAGTAGTGTGATTACTTCATGGCTGTCCTATTGAAGCCTGATACATAATGATTGCCAGAGACCAGCTGCAGAAAGAAAACTCGCTGTTTGTGTGGCTAGAACCACTTTTAAAATCAGAAGGTTCTGTCTAACCTGAATTCTTCATGCTGATATTTTAACTTCCTTTCTTCCTATTAGTTAACTTGGGCTGTTGATTTGCAGCAAGTGAATTGGTGATTATCGCCCATTTTGTTTGGTAGCGTGAATTAATTTCATAAAAACCTTTCAGAGAAGGAAAGCAAGTAATAGACTGTTTAAAATGATGAAGTATGGAATTGAACATTGAGTATTCTTCATATTTCGTGGATGTTTTCCACTCACATTCTTAGGTCCATAGGCTTGTATGTTTTTACTCTAACCAGAAGCTGTTAGTGAAAATGTATTGGAAAACAAACTATTTAAGTAGTAGCAAGCTGTCGGTATGATTATTTTAGGCTAATTGTCTCAGCCATATGTTTAGAGCCAGGTTTAAAGACTGCTTGACGGTGTTTATTTAGTTGTTGTATGCTTTATAGTCTTCCACTGCCTGAAAGCAAATTATTCCAAGTTCCAACTAGAGAAAAATGTGTTCTTTCTGATATTTTCAGAATCAGTAGTAAAATGTACTCTTTTACTTTACTTGAATTGTCTCTTTGCTGAGTAGCCTTATTATTTTCATGCAGACTTTCGAATAATAACTGCCTGTGAAAGAACTTTGTTACCCCTAGAGCCCTGGGATAAGAGGAGGGAATTAAATGCAGAAAAATATAGAGTGATGTTTTTAAATTTGGGACTCTTAGGGTTTATAGTGAATAGTAAAAGAGAATTTCCTTTGAAATTTACACCATGAACCCTCGTCTTTTAACTATATTGTTAAAATTGGCTCTTTTGGGGTTCTAGTTTAAATAAAAACCCATAAAAACACGGAAAATCTCTGTTAGAAGTCACTATGGAGTTGCAAATGGAGACAATTTCGCCTACAAATTTTTTTAGCACATAGCATATTATTAATTTAAAAAAGAGAAATATTGATTTTTAATTTTTCCATTTCTTTTCAGCTATTCGGTGACTGTGCAAGAGTCATACCCACATCCCTTTGATCAAATTTACTACACGAGCTGCACTGACATTCTAAACTGGTTTAAATGCACACGACACAGGTAATAGAAGCTTGGACATATTCATGAGTTTGGCTAACTGGGAATAGATTCTGAAACAGAGATAATAATGACAGCAGAAAGCGCATCCTTTCATTCAGTGAATAGGCATTGAGGGCTTGCTGCTATCTTATCTTTGTGCCAAATCACAGGGGATATAGAAAAGTAGAAAGGTAGTCCACGCTCTGGAGGAGCTTACAGCCTAACTGCACAGAAAGTGTCTGCTGTTTACCATCATTTGTTAACAAGAATTCTTCTAGCTTCTGTGTTGTGCTTAACGGGGGGAGACACTGGATCTGGACATTACATATGGACACCAGCAGATGTCAAGAAATTCATATCTGAGCGTATGTTTCCAATTGAACATCTGACTCAATTTAGGACAACTTAAATGTGACCGTTAAGTAAAACAAGACATATTTTTTCCTATAAATGTGAACACAGAAACAAAACTAAAATATAATTAAGTATTAATGTTAATATAGAAGGAAACTCTGATACCCTAATTTTATTAGTAGTATACTAACATTTATAGTATATGAGTTACGCGTTGAGTGCAGCATCTGCTGATTTTTACTGCACAAGATGATGCTATGCTCAGTGTCATTTCTTCATACAAGCTGGCCTTGGCCACTCTGTCTAAACTAGCATTCCCTCCTGTTACATTCTATGCCCTGACTCAGGCCTTATTTTTCTTCACAGCATGTAATCATTACCTGCCATAAATGTCTTATTATTTCTTTAGTTCATGTCCTTACTTTAACAAATTCAGCCAGATCTGCCTTCCCCAGTAAAACATAAGTTCCTTGAGAGCAAGGGATTTCTACTGTTTTGTTCCCTGCTCTTTTCTCAATATCTAGAACAGTGCCCAGGATGTAGTAGGTGCTCAATAAACATGCTTTCTAAGTGAATCAGTGAATAAATGGTGCTTTAGTTGGTCTTTCATCTGTTAGCCTTCCATGTTATGGTGGGATGAGACTGCCCCAAGGTTTTTAAGGGAATTCTCTGAATTCTTCCTTTAAAACATACATAAGTGAATGATGCTTAGATGGGTATCATATATGAATTAATCAATACTTTTCACCATATCTCAAGTTAAGTGAGAGGGGGAAATCATGAAACTACTGACTCCTTGAAATAAAGCACAGATTGGCTTCAATAGAGAATCTTAATATATTCTTAGCAAATTGATGAGTTAGCATTATATTGGTCTAGACATGTATTGCATATTTCTTCGTAATTAGTTTGAAATACTTTGCTTTTCAGACCTTTATTATACATAATAGCTCATTTTTATTGGAGTAAATTCTTTCTAATTAAATTGTCAGTCAAAAAAACTAACAATGTGATCTTTCCTTCTCTACAGAATAAGTTATCGGACAGCCTATCGACATGGGGAGAAGACTATGTATAGGCGCAAGTCTCAGTGTTGCCCTGGATTTTATGAAAGCGGGGAAATGTGTGTCCGTAAGTGAGACTTTCACCTCCTTGAGATTTGCCTGTTTTTCCCAGTGCTGGTTTGCTTCTGTTAATGGTTGCTGAGACGGAGACCTGGGGAAATGGGTGTCTTGGAATTCCCTTTCCCTCTGGTTGCTGCTTTTCCTTGGCTTGTGTAATGAAGGAAGCATTAACTGTGTCCTTGTGTCCCATCCAAAGTCTCCAAATGAATGTTGCTTGAGGAGGAAACAGCTGCAGAAAGATGATTCAAGGCCGGATGTGATGATGTAAATTACAATTCTTCAATAAATGTCTCATTGGAAATTGGTCAGGACTCATTGGACTTGGGTCACAGAAAAGAACAGAGACCTATCTTTCCTACAGCTGACCCAGGTCAACTTTCCAGAGGCCAGCATATTCTTTTCTAGTGCATAGAATGATGAGGCTTATTAAATGTAGAGGAGTTTTCACATTAAAAAATGACAGTAAGTCTGGGTCACAAAATAGAATTTCTTTTCATTGTCATTTTCCCTCCTCTCTCCCCTCCCCACTTCACCAATTCATTCTGAGATGTCTTGAGAGAAGTTTGGTATCTTACAACAGGCTTCAGAGAATCCCAGAATATGCGATGCATGTGAGACGCAGTTTGCAATTGAGATTTCTTACTATTGTGTAAAGGTCACTTAGAAGAGCGATCATTAAAAACTATTTTATTCAAGTATTCTGGCTCAACGTACAGCTAGAGGGACACCTCTGCTTTCTGAATTGAGACACTGATGCTGAGTAGCATGGAGTCAAGGTTCTGCTGTAATTTGGAGGCACCAGGAATGACTGGATAGATCTCAGCTTAAGAATCTGGAGAGCCCAGTGATATCACTGGTTCTACCATCACTTGGCTGGGTGGCCTCGCAGAAACCGTTTATACCTCTTTGAGGCTCCTTTGCTGTCTCAGTGAGAGGACTTGGAATAGCACCTGTCTCATGTTCCTTCCAACCCCTGGATTCTATCCTGTATGGAGACAGGGGCAGCTCCTTAGCTTGGATTCAGAATCAGGGCTATATTTAATAATACCTGTTCATAGAAAGAAAAATTAGAATATGTAACTAAGCACAAAGAAGAAGATAAAAATACATTGTTAATATCTGCCCTTGTCAGTAACATATTGCAAATATCAGTATATTATTACATTATAAATATTTGTTTAACCAATCTCACCTGTTGAATATTCACACAATTTCCAAGTTTTACCTGTTGTGAACTACTCTAAAGAACATCATTGTGGTTAAATAATTATTCATATCCTTTGTTAAGTAAATATAAATTCCTAGTGGTAGAATCACTGGATTAGAAGTGTACATATTTTAATACTTTGGTGTGTTTCCAATTTAAATGCCCACCAGCAGCAAATGAGAATGCCTTTTTCCTTATACCCTGGGCCAATTTTCCTTTTGCTAATTTTTTCTCAGTTTGCATGTCTTTGATTAATAATCACACTGAATAAGAAAAATTACATGTTTATAATCAAACATCTTAGAGAATAATCATGAGCAGATCTCAGCGGCCCAGACTGATGGGACATTTTCAAGAGAAAGCAGAATGGAGTGCACACAGAGGTGGGGACTGGGGAGGCCCGGCCACTTCCCAGAGGCCTTGGGGACATTATCTTGATGCCCTTACCTGGGTTCAACCTTACAAGCACAATCATCAACACATCAAGAGAGTACTTCTGTCTCCCAGCACACATTTCTATTAACTCAGGTCATAGAATTTGAAGCCAGGATACTGTTTTCCTAAGTCATCCATGAAGCCAGGATGCTATTTTCCTACGTCATACAAAACCTGGAAAGGTGCTTGTGCCTGCCTTCTGGCCATACCTTCTGTTCTTGAAGGCCTGGCAAGTGAGATGCTAGATTTTACCGGCAAGCTGGTGTGGGAGCGTAGATCCAAGCAAGCTCAGTTAGAGAGACAGCTTCGGTGTTTCCTGGCATCAGCCGCATAATTCAATGCCTCTGTTTTTTAACTCAGTAGTGCAGCCATTCTTAGAAAGTTAGGCCATTCCATTAGCACTGTCATGCATGAAATTACGTGGGTAAAAATAAGATTTTCTCTCCTGCTGGACAACTTGCAAAGTGTCTCCCAAACTGCTTGAATTGAACACCTCTAGCATTTGCCTCGAAAATTCTCCTTTTTCTAGGCCTCTTGGCTGACCAACTGCCCCTGACACTGCAACATTTTTTCCTTTAGATATGCTAATGTATTTAATCAGCTTATTCTCTAGTCTCCCTGGCCTGGGAGCTGTTGGTCTCTGGTCTCTAAAATATTTTGTCTTTCCACTCTGATGTCTTGATTTCATTATTTCACCCACCCCCAACAAGTGCTATGCTTCCTTGTTCTTGGGGGTGATTCCCAGTGACTTTTTTTGTACTTTTCACAGCTGGCACAAGTGAGCCACCCTTGCCGATAGAAAAGGAAGAAATAATACATTATTTTTGGTTGTGTTTTCATAGTTTCTTTTTCTACCAAGTTTTGCTGCCAGGCAGATAACACAGTCACCCTTTTTAACTGTTTCCAGTTATCCAAATAAATTAAACACAGAAATCAGTCATCGTTTTAACTTAATTCTTGGGCATTTACCTAGAAGGCGAGCAAGGATGATTTAATGCAAATACCTGTATTTAAACAAGTTTCTTTTATGTACTGAAGTAGTAGTTACAGGAGAGCAGGTCCCGTCCTCCCTTCCCTCCCCACCTCGGTTTCATCCTGCTCCACCGACCGGCTCCTCCATGATCGATCCCACTGTAGACAGTCATTCTGGAGGCTTGACATGGAACTGCCAGCTGCCCCACCCTCTTTCCATGGCTTTCTGACGTCTCCTGTGGGGATCTGGCTGGCTGTCCTAACTATCACATGTTAATGACGTGTCCTTTTGGTTCTTATCTTCCCCTCACCCACCCCTTCCACTTCCAGAGATCAGAACACTTCACAAATATTAAAAGTAGCTCTTCATTAGAAAATTGTCAGGGATATGAATGCTAAAGAGTCATCTTCTCAGGGGCGGGCATGGCGGCTCATGCCTGAGTTCCCAGCACTTTGGGAGGCCAAGGCGGGAGGATCTGTTGAGCCCAGGAGTCTGAGACCAGCATGGGCAACACAGGGAGACCCTGTCTCTTTAAACAAAACGAGTCATCTTCTCTAGGCTCCAGAGACTTTGCTGGAGAGTGGGCTGCCAGTTCAAAGTCAGCTGTGGTTGAGGAAGGAGAGCTGAGTGGCCTCCAGGAGCCAGGCTCACCTTGTGAGGGAGTCTATGGAATTGTGCCCTTCTCAGAGCCATAGGACAGCTTGCAGATGTCACCAGAACAATGGTAGGACCATGCAACTTAGTTTAACTTGTTTTGGGATAAAAGCAGGCTTCTATTCTACTTGTACACACAAAGGAAGTCATTGTTCCTTTATCATAGTAATTTCCTCTTTCATAGGAAAAATGAGACTCGACACAGTGGGTTCAATTCAATTGAATAAAACATGCATTGATTGACCTACAATGTAAAAACCAGTAGGCTAGACTCTAAAGATTATACACACACACACACACACACACACACACACACACACACACATACACATATGAGCCACACATACTTTCTGCCATCAAAGAGTTTTGCAACAAAGTCATAGTTAACTTTATTTTGTGCTTACTATGTACCAGGTACATACATTATCTTATAAAATTTCCGGAACATTATGAGGCCTACATAATTATACCCATGTTAAAGATGAGAAAAATGAGACTGCGAAATTAAGTAACTTTTTTGTCTGATCAATTGGTGGTGGGTAGTGGAGGATGATGCAGGTATTTATTCTGAACAGAGAATGAGATACTTTACCTAAATGAAAGAAATGAAATTGGCAGAGTAGTCTCTGAACCAAGGATTATCCAGCTCCTGTCCATGTCACATGTTGTCAAGATATTCTCAGCTGCATCTCATTACATGACTTCAAAGATTTAAAAAACATATCTGTATTAAATAATTTTGCCTTGAAACGAAATGTCAAGAAAATTCTCTATTCTCTGTTCAATTATATCTCTCTTAAGGTGACTAAAATCAATAAAAAATTTTTGTTTCTTTTGAAATTGGATTTTTAAAAGGTTCTTGAAAACAAAAAACTTTAGAGAAATTAAGTAAATAGGTCTCACACATGTCGTGATTCTGCCTACATCAACCAGAGGACTGATCACTGACCTTACCGGCATTGTTGGTGGATATTCAGGATCGTTGTAACTGCTGCGGTTTTTCACTTTTGGGAAATTTAGCAAGGCAGCCTAGTCAGGTGCTTCTGGATTCTCTGTACTGTTAAGGTTCTAGGGAAAAGGACAGTAGCTTAGAAACATACTGAAGATTTTAAGTTTCATGTTAATACACTGATGGCCAGAGCATCCTGGAGATAGTCCTTCATGTAAATTCACATGGAAACTGTCCCAGGACGAGGCTCTTATTTCATGTTTATGTGTATTAGAAGCAGCAGGTAGTCACTGAATGGCTCTTCATCCTGTCAGCTGTGCAGATTCTTGGAGAAAAAGCCCTACTTTTTTTGTGTATAGAGCATGAAGAAGAGACTGGCTCTGCTTCTGACTGGAATGAGCACACAAAACTTTTGGGGAGGCTGTTAAAATGCAGATTCTGATTCCATGGGTCCAGAGTGGGGCCCAAAGGTATGCATTTCTACTGAACCCTCAGGTTGTGTGGAAGCTGCTGGTCCACAGAGCAGACTAACAGGGCTGTCTCTCTGGAATACCAGTGCATGTCACCAGGCAGAAAACACCACAGGAGAGAGTGTGGACAGCAGTGTGGTTAGAAGCCTTTTCTTAGAATCTGGTTAGAAAAAAAGAAAGGAGTGGAAATTTTTAAATTAAAATATTACTAGGACAGGAAGAAATCTGTGATTCCTTGGTGTGGTTTTGCGCTGTTTATAACTTTAATTAAACTCTAAATTTGTTCCTCCTTCAAAATTAATATTCTTGCCTTATCTGT